ACTTTGTTGTAGGAAAATTAGTCATTCAGATTAAATGATAGAAAAATAGTTTGTGGCAGCCTGTGAAGATGTCACCGTTTCCATCGTACTGTCTGATGATAACCACAGAAGCAGATCTCAGGTGGTTTAACTCAGAGATGTGATGCGATCTGTGTTTTCCTCCAGGACCTGAACAAGAAGCAGACCCAGAAGGACCTGGAATGTGCCATGTTGCTGCGACACCACGAGTCCACGCAGGAGCTGGAGTTCAGGCAGCTGGGCTCAGTGCAGAGAACCAGAGCCGACCTGATCCGAACGCAGCACCAGACCGAACTGACCAACCAGATGGAGTACAACAAGAGGCGTGAGCAGGAGCTTCGACAGAAACACGCCATGGAGGTCCGGCAGCAGCCCAAGAGCCTCAAGGTACGAAGGAGAGCTCATAACTGAACCTAAAACCTACTGCTGAATGTCTCCTCTGACTGCTTCTGACTCTGTTTCAGTCCAAAGAGCTGCAGATTAAACGCCAGTTCCAGGAGACCTGTAAGATCCAGACCCGCCAGTACAAAGCGCTGAGGAACCACCTGCTGGAGAGCACTCCAAAATCCGACCACAAGGCCGTCCTCAAACGCCTCAAAGAGGAGCAAACACGTAAGCTGGCCATCCTGGCCGAGCAGTACGACCACTCCATCAACGACATGCTGTCCACACAGGCTGTGAGTAAGGCAAGGAAACCACCGCGCACCGCCACCACACCTGGAGCACTGCACCTGAACGCACCATGACACAAACACACAGTGAACACATCACCAACAAAACTGCATGCATCTACAAATGTATGTTACGGTTTCATTTAGTTTTCAGATTAAAGAAAAGGAGAAAATGACGAGTAAAGAATGCAGATTTCAACGGTTCTCTGTTCTTTGAATCCTCAGTTTGTTGTTTCAGCTTTCTGGTATATTTGTCATACAAAGGAGAAATGTTCTTCTTTTGGATCATAAATGGAAAAAACAAGCATTCTGACTGTATGGTTTTGGATACTGTCAACTGTAGGAGGCCTTTTTTATTATTTATTTGTATTCTGATATTGTATAGAACTAAACTATTGATCAGCTTATCTTGATTATTTTCTGGATTAATCAATTACTTATTTTGTCTCTAAAATTCTCAGAGCCCAAGATGATAAATGTCTTTGTTTTGTCCGAAACCCAATAATTTATAGTTTACCATCTAAAAAGAGGAAAGAAACTAGAAAATATTCACATTTAAGAAGCTGAATTTTCCTTAAACAATGACAGAAACAGATAAATTGATTATTAAAATGAATTTAATCGTTAACAGCTCATCGATTAATGATTGCAGCTCAAATGCTATGTTGCCAGAATTCAAAATCTTCCACTGGTGCTTGAAAAATGACTAAAAATATTGACAATTGTAGACTAATTAGCTGCTGATTAACTAGCTAACTGCAGCTGTAGTTGGAATACAAGGAAAAAACTCAATAATAAACACCAGACCAGTGGGACAAAGCTAAATTATTTTAATGATTCAATGTATTTTTTGCAACAACACACTTGAATCAACATTTACCGCTCGTTCATCTACAGTCTGTTTTCAAAGAAACCAGAGAAATGTCAAGACAACATACAGACATAGACACATAGATGTGTTTTTTACTGTTAAATCCAACATCTGTCAGTCTTATTATGTAAAGAAGCAAACTCACAAACATCTGATCAAACTCAACAGACAGTAGATTCAAATGTTCTCTCTACTGATACTGTGTTTTGTTCTCTTTCACCTGCAGCTTCGGCTGGATGAGACTCAGGAGGCCGAGTACCAGGTTCTGAGGATGCAGCTGCAGCAGGAGCTGGAGCTGCTCAACGCCTACCAGAGCAAGATCAAGATCCACACCGACACCCAGCACGAGCGGGAGGTGAAGGACCTGGAGCAGCGGGTGTCGATCCGCCGGGCGCTGCTGGAGCAGAGGGTAGGAGGAGGATGTCAGAAAATGTGTTTCAGATCAGCTGTAGTACCTGGTTGTTCCACCAGGTGGAGCCTCTTACTGTTTACTGCTGTAGCAACTCAAACTACAAGCAGTTCATGTTGGCAAGCAGAGAGCATTCTGGAGGTTTAGCTGGCAACGGGCACCATGACAAGACTTCTGTGGAGGTTAATGAGTTCTGAGTGGAGCTCATGTGTTCAAGACAAACTGGGATCAAGTAGCTTAAAGTTTCTGGATCACGCTGGACTATTTAACTGTATCATGTGTCGGTTCACTTGTGTCCTCTGTACATCATTTATGTTATTGATTAATTCATTCTGGATTGATAACACGTTGATCAATTTTAAAAAGCTATTTAAAAAAAACAAGCATCCCTAAGGTCCTGTCACAAAGTATGTCTCAGCATCAGGCTGAGTTTAAGGCTGATACCGATCTGTTAAGTAATGCTTTGTTACGATCTTTGTGATCGGATCAGGACATCCCTCGTCCCCGGTGCTGACACTGCGTCTGTTGTCTTTCAGATTGAGGAGGAGATGCTCTCCCTGCAGAACGAACGCTCGGAACGAATCCGGACTTTGCTGGAGCGTCAGGCTCACGAGATCGAGGCGTTTGACTCGGAGAGCATGCGTCTGGGCTTCAGCAACATGGCGCTGTCCGGCATCCCGGCCGAGGCCTTCAACCAGGGCTATCCGACCCCCAGCCCGTCCTCGGGCTCCAGCGGCTGGCCGTCGAGACCCGTCCCGCGATCCGGCAGCCACTGGAGCCACAGTGTACAGAACTCGGTGGCGACTCCGTCCTGGCGCAGTCAGAACCACGGTGGCGGCGGCTTCAGCCGGGCCGAGTCCATCGCCTCCTCCCACGGCCTCGGCAGGGACAGTGAGCTGATTAAGACCGGCAGGGTTCACTCTTCCTCGTCCTCCTCGTCCTCCTCGTCCTCCCACCACCAGCAGCACTACCTCCCCCAGCACTACCAGCACCACCAGAGCACTCCGCAGCTCTACCGCGACTCCCACGACTCCAGGGAGCGCGAGCGGGCCCGAGAGTGGGTGGGCGGAGGAGGCCACTACTCCCATCACTCCCAGGGCCACCACCATCACCTCTCCTCCCACGCCTCCTCCCAGTCCCTGGCTCTGCTGCCTCCCCCGCCGCCGCCTCCCCCCATCTCCCTCTCCTCTTCCTCCCCTCCCTCCTCCGCCTCCTCGTCGTCGTCATCACAGGGAGGCTACGGCGGCGGCGGCCTGAGTGTCCGGGGTCCCAGCCTGATGGCGCTCAGGAACAGCCCCCAGCCGCTGAGGAGGACGGCGTCCGGCGGTCCGGGCGGCGGCAGCGACGGCGGTTTGAGCCGGAGCACATCGGTCACCTCCCACATCTCCAACGGATCCCACCTCTCCTACTCCTGAAGGCCTCCTTCACTGAGGAAACTACAGGGCTACGAGCTGATTCCAATACAGGAGCAGTTCAGAGAGGGAGGGAGGGAGGGAGCGGTTAGTTTTTACTTTTTAGATTTTAAAACGTGAATAATTTCATTCTTTGAAAAACACACACAAATACCCTTATTTTAAGCGTATGTTTTAAGATCTCCTTGCTGGAAGTGTGCAGGGATGTTCAGCTGCAGGAAAAGAAAGAGAGGACGCCTTCAGGGCTGCAGCGGTGTATGGCAAGTCAGCTTCACATTTAATAGCTGCAAATGTCTAATTCAGTTCGTCAAAGAGATCATCTGCAGCTAAAGTATGACGAATTGTAATTATCTGTCTCGTCATAATCTGCTTCACAATTTTAAACATCCTGAATAAACTTAATTTAGATATCCTAAATGAGGTTTTTAGATATCTTACATTAAGGTTGAACTAATTGAAGGGAGGTGTTTTAAATTTGTTAACAACCAGCCGGAGTGATGCTGATTTGAGGGACTGCATTGTGCGATAACTGGTTTCTGTCATTTTGACTGTTCAAAACTGAGTCACGGATATTTTCAGATGTCGTTTTGAATAGTCAGAATGATGCTACAGATATCTGGAATCAGCCTCTGACTAATCACAGTCCAGTATCTAAAGTAACGCTGCAGATGTGGGTCATTTTAAAACTTAGCGCCTGGCGAGGGATGTCGAGAGTGCAATGCAAGTTTCTGATGAGTGGTGTGATTATTTTGTCTCTGGCTGTAGTTTCACTGGTCAGAATGACATTGTTAATGTCTGTATTTTAAAGATAGTCACACTTAGCTAACAGCTCGCAATGACGTTAAACCATCTGTTGAGGGATGTCAGTGCTGTTGCGTTTTCAGCCAAAACCGAACTACAAGCATCTCCGTATTGTTTCGGCCGGTCAGGCTGATGTTGTCATTTTAGCTCCGACATCAACTTCAGCTATTAAATGTCAAAGCGGCTTGCCATAGCAGGAGTGTTTTAAAACCCTGAGTTGCACAGGAGCAGAGATATAATCAGAAAAAAATAAGACGTGAAAATGAGCCATGTGTTGCGAAGTGAACAAGTCGAACCATCCGGGGGGAAAAAAACAAAAAAACAAAAACTTGTTTGCTTTGTAGCCTCCATTGCACAGTGTTGAGGGTTTAGACGGACTCGCCTGTCGGATCAGGTGTTCAGAGTCGCAGCAGGTTTCTTTTTTCTTTTGTTTTGTATCGAACTGAGCGACAGTTGTGGAGCTTCCACTTGGCTAGCGGTGCTTTAAAAACCACTGTAACTATGTAAATAACGCTAAAATTGTAAACCCGGTTTTTGATTTCTGAGTGTTTCATAGCTGGGGGGGGAGGGGAGGGGGAGGAGTCGACCAAGGGAAGATTTCTTGAAAACACAATTCTTTTACTCGTAGTGATAAGATTCTGTATATGACAATAAAAAAAAAACAACACACACACTGCCATCTTTCTGTTGGGCTGCAGAGAAACTCTACCACTGCCCTCTGATCTTCTTAAAGGAACCGTTGGAAACTTTGGGAGCGTTTACAGTCAGAATTAGATTCAATCGACGAGTTCACGACAGAAGTAGCTCCGAGTTTTATTTAGCTTAGCGCTGATGCTAAAAGCAGCTTCCAACAGCTTCACATGGACGAGATCTGTGTGCGGAGACAAACTGTGAGTGGGAAGGCAGCAGCAGCAGCCCACCAAACATGACATTTATATACAACTAGAAGAACGCTGCTTGTTCTTAGACTTCAGCTTCATTTGAACTCTTTCAGTTTTTGCTCACTGGTTGTGTTTACTACAGTATCACACTTTCACAATTAATAACAGCTTTTACAAGTTAAGGCACCAAAAACATCACAGTTGAGGTTCAAATACTTTCAATACCTGATTGAAGCCTTTGTGATGGAAAAACTATTAAATTAATGGAAAAGATGTGTTGACTAGAAACATGTTTGTGATCCTTCACAAACAAACATAATCCATTAGAAAATACACGAAACTAAAAGAGAAAACTCTGCTGGTACATCCCATAATATTGATGCCAACGTGGGTCAGAGATTTTTCTTACAGAACCCAGATTTAGCGTTTTAGAACTCAGATGGTAGAAACCGACAGGTTGTTCATTTCCTAAAAAGATACTGATATAAATGGAGTTTTTACAATATTCTGGTGGATGAATCGTAGCAACTGGACTTGTTTGAGTTCCTTGAAGACGTTCCACCTCTCATCCAAGAGGCTTCATCACTTCTGACAGACTAGTTGGGAGTTCCAGATACTGATATCCTTAAGGATCCATTACCACCTGAGTGTTGGTTTCAATTGGAAGTTTGTTGCTCCTCCCACTCGTTATGTTAGTCGTTAGTGCTCCCGCTGCCACAACGGGGTTCATTAGGGTCTTTTGTGGCTATAGGTGTGAATGTGGTTTCATCTTCCTGGGGAGAGATCTTAGGACTGAATTGTGGACTGAAACCGAAACGTCTTCAAGGAACTCAAGCAAGTCCAGTTGCTACGATTGAACTACCAGAATAGTGTAAAAACTCGAAAGTGGACAAACTGTTGGTTTCGACCATCTGAGTTCTAAAAGGCTAAATCTGGTTTCTGTAAGAAAAATCTCCGACCCACTTTGGCATCAATATTATGGGATGTACCAGCAGAGTTTTCTCTTTTAGTTTTGTGTATTTTCTAATGGATTCTGTTTGTTTGTGAAGGATCACAAACATGTTTCTTCAAGGAACTCAAGCAAGTCCAGTTGCTATGATTAATCTACAAGAATTACCATAACCTGGATGACTGAGAATAATCTTCACAATTTACAATAATTTTGTCATCAAATCTTTTTTTTTAGGGACGTATTTAGTCCTGTCTGGTTACTTTATTTAGACTTAAAGCTGCAGCACGTTTTGTTGATGTGATAGAAGAACAGTTTCCCACCAATTTGTCGTCTAGTTCTGCATTTATTTTCATTTTAAACACAAATATTCTGAATTTTACATCGCATTTTTTTGCAAAATTATTTCAGTTTAGAGAAAATTGAGGAACTTCTTGTTTAAGTTGTGCGTAAGAGCAGATTGATGTAAAAAAAAACAAAAGAGATTCGAAGCTGTTGGGAGATGATTTTAACATTTTTAACTGTTTTCATGCTAAGCTAACCCGAGTCCGCGCTGAAGTCACCGTCTGACTGCGATAAATCACAAACCTCCCCCGACGTTCCTTCGACCGGATGCTGCCACAGAGTGTTTTAGCACTAAAATCTGCGATCTGAACGTGTGTTTGAGTGTTTGTGAGTGTGTGTGTGTGTGCAGCTTAGAAATCACCCGTTTTCCCCACAAGTCTGCATCTGTAGATAAGATGTGCATTATTACAAATTAGTACAACTCAGTGCATGGAACTCGTGTACAGGCGGCATTTGTATGAATAAACATGCACACTACTTATTTATATAAATGCATATAAATGTAAGATACCTGTAAATGTAGCAGGTATAATACTGAAGATTGTTCACTGTCCAAACACTTTGACTTGCATTGTACTTACCAGTGTACATAGAAGCACTAACTCTGAGACTGTGTTAGAGTAATAATAATGATTATTTTGTCACGTGAGTTAAGCCGATTTGTACTAGATGCAGACAAATAGAAGCTATCATTATTATTACTACTACTGCGGTTGGAATATTTATGTTGTAATGCTAATTTTTAAGTTTTTAAAATTGTAATTGCCAATTTTGACCACTAGGTGGGGGAATAAGCGCAATGTTACTGTGATAGAGCTATAAAAAAAAAAAATTTAAAAACATATTAATGTTTCTAAGGAGGACAAAAAAAAGGACTACCTTTCCCAGCATTCCTGTCGAGGTCTCAGGGTGGGAGTCTCCAGTTCTGGGCAGGGCTGCGTTTTTATTTTTTATTTTTGAGCCAGTATTAAAACGTGGAGTCGACATTTCCGGATTCTTTCACTACATTTGGTGCCATGTTTTTATTATTTTGATTTTATAATTTCGCACTCTTTAATGTGCGAAGGACTTTCCCCCCTCCCCAAAAAAAACAAAAAACACTGTAACCTGCAAAATATGGAGCCCAAAAAGTGTTCAGTATTGGAGAAAATAATCAGATGAATAAATTGTGTAAGTTCCACCGAAACTCCAAGAAATAATTTACGAAATTGTTAAAAATCAACTCATTAGAATGAAATATTATTTTATGATTATTTTCACAGCAGCAATTTAATTTATATTTTTTGTTGTTTTTTTTTTTACGACTGTTTTTATTTTTGTTACAGCGTTGTAGTCCCCTTTATTTTATCGTTTCTTTTTGTCTGATGTCGGTCATGAAAAGTGACATAAAATAATAACACAATGAGCTGGAAGTTTGAAATTTAAGTCGTAAAAATTGAGGTACAGGAAATTTTCAAAAAATTCTACGAGTCAAAATTGACAAAATTGGATGTTAGAAAATGGAAAATGTTACATAAAAGTGACAGGACATTTAAAAACTTTAATGAAACGTGACTAAATTTCACATTAGAAGTAAACAACTGTGGCTAGTCAGAACGCTTATTCCAGATTTCCTGCAACAGGTACTTAAAAGTGACCCAAAAAAGCCATCATTACATAGTAACATTATATTAGAAACAATATAATTTAATATTTCGCAGTAATGAGTTGATTTTAAATCTACAAATTGTTTCACGTCTTGAGTTTTGCGCAGTTTGTTCGTATGATTATTTTTTCCTGCAGTTGCTTTAGTGTTGGTGTAATATTGGCCTCTTTGGGACTCCGTACACGAACTCCACTCTGTGTTTTGATTTGCACAGTCCGAATGGGTAGAAAATCACCGACCTCCGCGCAATCGGATGCTGTCTTTAGTTGTCATGTCTACCTCATTTGCACTGATAGTAGAAGAATGTTTGGGTGGATTTTAAAGGAAAAAAAACAACAACAACAACATATGTTTTCTTGGCTTTTTCTTTTTGTTTCCTTCTCATTTTTGTGCAAATGTGGACAAAAGAGATGATGAATGAGAGCAGGAGGATGAACTGACGGTGTTCGGAGTGGAAGCTGTACAGATTTTAGTTTCTGATTTCTCTCCGCTGACATGCTGGACTTTAAAGACAAACAGTGGGTGGAAACAAGTCGACAAACAAACTGACTGTAGATGGTGGAAGCGTTTGTTGGGAATCTGCTGGCCGGTGGATGAACTGTTCAACACGTGAGATTTCATTTTGCCAACTTTGATTTTTCTCTTTTTAAATATTTTATGTTGAAATGCTGACCATTCCTTAAGTGTTATTTTTTTTTTTTGCCAATTAAAGCTGCACTCTGGAAGTTAAAGTCACACTTTATTTCTACTTTCTGAAACACTTTTGTAATAGATTGTGAGCAGTTTTCTGTGTTTTGGGAAATGTTCATGTTTGCCGCCTTCTCCAGAGTTAATGGGGGGAAAAAAAATGTCAGAAAACTGTGAAAAATGTCGGTTCAAAGCGATGTTTTGATATTCAGAGCTCAAATAATTCTTCATTTAAGTCATTTTTCAAGCAGAAATATCAAATATTCTCCTGTTCACATCTCTAATGTAAGAATTTTCTTTCTTGATATCTCACAAAATTGATTTTCTTTGTTTTTATTTTACAACAAAGAGTCTCACTGTTATTGCAAGTACGGAATTCAAACAGTGCCCATATTAGTAGTATTATTTTTAAAAACTAAACATTCATAATTAAGCATATAGTTAAAAATATAAACAATGCAAAAATGTGGGGTTTTTTTCCACTTTGTTGTATTTTTTTTTGGACGAAAGCAGTGTTTTCGAGGCCTATTTTCATTTCATAGTTGCGTTTTCTTCCACAGTTCCTTTCATTTCATGACACTTCCATGAAGTTTTATTTTTGTTATTTTATGATGCTGCTCTTTTGTATGAACAAATGCCAATTTAGATGTGGAAAAAATAATATTTTATAGTCACAACAATCCAGTAATTAAAGAATCTGCTAATCGATCAGATAATAAAAATAATCAATAGCTGGAGCCTTGGATATTCAGTTTAAAATGTCCAAAAAAAAAACAATCAAAGCTGCAAGTTTTTTGGATTTAAAGCTTGAAAAATGACTAAAACTGCTTGACTGACGAAAATACTTCTCTTAGCTGTGAATGTCATTGTTTGACTAATATTTTCAGCTCTGGTTCACTAATTTTTCACATTTTTGTCATTTGAGAGCGAAAAATGTTCTGCAAGTGTCCGTTTGTGGTGCGTTCAAGGACAGTCGGACATCTGAGAAATGACGCCGTTCAAAGATGTTTGTTACAAATGTTTCAGGAGTCGACGGCAAACGAGAAAATTTCCCAAAACTGTTCTTGTAATTCGATATTAGCTGGTTTCTGTTCAGGTTCACATGGTGCAGTTTTATAAACAAACAAAAACAAAACCCTGAATGATGATGTTGTTTGTGGCCAGCAGGTAGAAACTGACTGGAGCAGCTGTGATGATGATGATGATGGTGGTGATGATGATGATGGAGGATTCTGCTGTAGTGAGAGTCAGTGTTTGTGTGCAGGTTGTGAGTCTCGGACGTGTTTTTTGCAGCAGGAGTTTAAAATGTTTCAGGTTCGGAGCGTTGAAAAAAACGAGTTGTACAGAAACGTAACAAAATAATTTTGGAGAAATAAAAGAACAAAAACAGAAGTGTTGCTGCGTTTTTATTCTCTCTGGGCTTTGTTAACATTTGTGGGTTAAAAAAAAAAAGGTTTATTAAACTCAGCTTTGGGACAGAATCATTGAATTTTAGCAGCCTTACACTGATGTGCACTGTAAAAAATACAAATCTGTAAAAAATGGTGTAATCCTAAAACGTTTTAAAATGGTGATAATTACAGCAAATATGTGTAAAATTATGATATTTCATAGCAGATGATAGCAGATTTAAACACTGTAAAATTAATGGAAGTTTGCAATCGTTAAAGAAGGAATTATCATTTATAGATTTACTGATTTACAGTTTTGGCCTAAATTCTTATGTTAATTTTTTTCAATTTTATTTTTTCCTAAT